AAAAAAAAAAAAAATAGAAGTCGGAACCGAGTCCATGGCACATAACCACCAACAACCATTGATATGCATTAAGTATGAGTGACTTTATATTTGTACATGCTTTACAACCATGTGAATGAAATCATTAATTTGATTGAAAAAAAGTATGCACTTATACATACATCTTTTCATTCCATTTTTCCATGAACTGTTTGTGAAGCTGCCATGTATATGTATATATGTATGTTTAGGTGAAAAGGAAGCCCATAAACGAAACATGCTATACTGTGTTTTACAGGATAAAGATGAGACTTTCTGCTCCCATAAAGATTTATAGCCTTGCAAACGCTATGCAGAGGGTCACTGTGAGTCAGAACTGACTACAGGACACATAACCACCACCACCACCATACTGTGTTTTGGAATCTGTTCCTATCATATGACAAGTTCCTATCATATGACAAGTTAAAGCTACAGGAGTAACTTTAACTTGTCATAGGGAAATGGCGAATTTTTAGATCATCAATACTTAGAACATCTATTAACAGTTTGCCTTTTTCTTTTGTAGGATGAAGTGGCACACACTCTGACGGAAAGCAGAGTCTTAAAGAATACTAGACACCCCTTTTTAACAGTAAGTGACTAGAGGACATATGCAGTAATTGTAACATTTTAAATTTAAGGAGTTTTGTTATGGAACTACGAATATTCTAATTCACATTCATTTAGGCATAGCATATTCTTTGTACAAAGACCATAGTAAAATTTTGTAGAAATGATTGAAATGTATAAATTCCTTTTATAGCATATGTATTTATAACCTCTCCACTTTAATGTTATACTCCCATTAAATTTCTGAGATTTTTTTCTCTCATGAATTTCATTAAAAAGGAAAATAGAACAGATGAATCACCTGTTGACTTTTAACGTAACCTATGAGAAAATGCTAGACTGTCATATATAATTCTTAACATTAAATGTAGTGTTTTTCTGTTTCTTTTGTTTATTTGTTGAATAATAAAAAAATTTATTGAATACTTTTATGGAAACAAAATTCTTTGATAAGATATATAATAATACTGAATATATTATGTAAAAGAGGATAAATTCATGATATGTTTTCTTCACGAGGCAAAGAACAAACTGACTTATATGCATTTAACTTTGTTACTTTGAAACAAATGAATTTATTTTTTACTTATGTTTAAAATTTTTGTAATAGAGGTATCATTTGAAAGTTTCTGTGTATTGCTTTCCTTGAAGGTCTAGTAAGATTAAAAAATAGCAAGTAGACGTTCAACAGGGGAAGATTATAGAGCTTTGTTGTTGTTGTGGTTGTTATGCGCCATGGGGTTGGTTCCGACTCATAGCGACCCTGTACAGGGTTTCCGAGGCTATAAATCTTTACGGGAGCAGAAAGCCTCATCTTTCTCCCTCGGAACAGCTGGTAGTTTGGAATTGCTGACCTTGCAGCTTACAGTCCAATTCGTAACCACTACACTACCAGAGCTCCTTTATAGACTTTAGATTACCTAAAATAGACATTTTCAGAGGCATCACTAGATACCTACACGTACTTTGTAACATTATCGTGTGTTTATTTCTTGGTGTAGTCAGAGCTCCATAAAGTTTTGATGTCTTTTATAAACTATAAAATTACAAAATAGGTCATGTTATAAAAAGTGTTATTAAAGCTTTATTGAGAACATAAACATAACAACTGTAAATGTATTCCAAAGGAACTTCCACTAGAGAATTTGGTAGGCTGTGCTGCTTTGGAGTCCTGGTGTGGCACTGTGGGTTAATGCAGTGGATTGCATGAACGGTTTGAACTGCAAGGTTGACAGTTTAAGCTCACCAGCCACTTCTCAGAAACTTGATATAGGGTCGCTGAGTTGGAACCAACACGATGGCACTTAAAACAACAACAACAACTTTGGAGGAGCATGGATAGAACTTGGGAGGCCACTGCAGTTTCAATTAGATGGCACAATAGCTTGAAAAGTGTTTATCACAATTACTAAGTTCATTTTTACTTAAAATTTTAATTTTTCTCCCCTAACAGTAGCTATTGATGAAGTAAGCCAAAAGAGTTTCATGTTTTTCATAAACCATAACTTAAGTACTGTCAATAGATTCTTAAGGAACACTAACAATGCATTTAATCAATCATGCTTTACTATTGCTAAATATTCTATTTTTGGCTGTAATTATGCAAATGTGGGATTATAATATTACTTTTTTTTTTCCATTTCAAGTCCTTGAAATACTCCTTCCAGACAAAAGATCGTTTGTGTTTTGTGATGGAATATGTTAATGGGGGAGAGGTAAGTCAAAGAAGTAAATCTAGCATGTGCATATGCATGTTATATGTTATAATAAGTCATAATATGGCAATTCTCCATTTCTTGAAAGGGGTTTATGTAACTCTTTCCATCATTAAGTAGATAGGTGCTCAATAATTTTCAATGATATGAAATGATCATTTTATATTATATAACAACCTTTATATATTAAGAAACAGTAATTTTCTTTTTTTCTTCTATTTTTACATATTTGCATGTATATGTTTTTAAATATTTTAAATAATTTTTATTACAAGTGTATTTCTGAGATCATGTTACTAAATTTTGGAAGCTAGAAACATAGAATCTGTGTTTTCAAAATTTGAAGAGGTCTTTTGCAGCAGATTTGTCTAGTGCAGTGATGGTTTTCAAAAGTTTTTCTTAAACTTTTAAGTTCTTTATTTTAAGCTCAATGAACTACTGGCCTTAGGCACATCCTGGAAGAATTTCTCTTCCTTACATGGTAGCTCTATTTAAGAGATGTAAGTGATGTTGTAATGAAGAGAAATTCAGTTATTAATAGTACATTTTAATTATTTTTTGTTTCCTTTTCTCCTCACTGTTTTTGATGAAATTAATGTGAGGAAGTAAAATTACTGGAAATATTTTACTTTGTGGATTTCTGAAATAAATTTAATTATTAAATGTTGTCTTTTATCTCACAGCTTCTTTTCCAAAAGAAATAAATTAATTAGATATGCTTTATATAGTATTTTCATCCATAGAAGTAAGAATGAGTTCATTGCAACCATAGTCCTTCATTTTGTAAACACATTTTTAGTGTCTAGGCCATGTGGATTTATCTAAATGTGTTAAGGCATTGTCCTTACTATTAAGGAGTTAGTAAGTTATCTTACAACTCTATTATAAAATAGAACATGTTTTAGAAGAGCTAAATAAATTCATAAAAGAAAACATTTTCTAGATGGTCTTTTATTTGAGTAAGGCTTTAAATACGTAAGGAGATTTCAAACGGGAAGTGATTTGAGGAGCTCTTTCAGCAGAGAGGATGGTGTGAACAGATCAGAGAGGCTGGTGAGCGTGAGGCCAGAAGAGCTCGAGTGGGTACATAATGGTCCAGGCATGTGGAAATGAACATTTGCAGCCAAGTGTTAATTGCAAAAATACAAAGAACATGAGACAAAAGAATTGTAGAATAGGTAGATTTTAACAACTGATCAATTGGATGTGGGTAGAAACAAAGAGACTAATAAAAATGAATGAAAAGATAAAGGCTAAAGGTTATAAATTTGGTTTTTGCAATTTCTCTTAATGTTCCAAGGAAATACACATATAGAAAATAAATAAGTCCTCTTTTTGTTAATATGGAGTTGTCTCCGATATATAGCATTGTATGCTGTCAAATCAACTTCTACTTGTATGTAAACTCTTCCGAAGAAAGCCTCATTTTTCTCTTGTGGAGTGGCTGGTGGATTTGAGCTACCAACCCTGTAATTAACAATCAATCACATAACCCATTATACCACCAGGACTCTTTTTTAGCTCACTAATACCTAGGGTATAAATTTTAATGCATTCCATTTTGTTTTTGATGACTTCCAATTTTGCTAGGTTCATATCCTATACATTCCATGTTTCAGTCATTAATGAATGTTGAAACTGTCTTTTCTTGTTTTGAGTTGTGTCCCATCAGCCAATGAAGGTCCTGAAAGCTTTATTCCATCCTTATCATTAAGTTCAACTCTTCTTTGAGGAGGCGGTTCTTCCCCATTCATAGTTTGAGCACCTTCCAACCTGAGGGGCTCATCTTCTGGCTCTCCATTAGACACTGTTCTGCTGCTGTCCGTAAGGTTTTCACTGGTTACATGTTTCAGAAGTAGATCACTAAATCCTCCTTCTTAGTCTGGAAGCTCCTCTGAAACTTTTCCACCATGGATGACCCTACTACTATTTAAAATGCCAGTGGCATAGCTTCCAGCACTTTCCAGCACTAGAACAACACATAAGCCGCCACCCCTGTGTGGTATACTGATATACGAGTGGTGGACATGCATATATTATCTGTTTTTAAAAGTTGAAGAAAAGAAATAGGAAAGCAGACCTCCTGATGGATCGATCGATAAGTGGATAGGCAACCAAGAGAGAAAATAATATAATGAAAAGGATAAACTGCAGACAGGCAGTTAAGGAAACACTTTGTAATTTTTTATGGTGATTTGGGTGAAAATGTACTGAGCAAATTGGTTTTCCATTCAATATTCGTAACATTTTGATTCATGCCATTGATTGCAATCCTCTCAATATAACAGCACTCTTCCGACTTCCTTGTTGTGAGTTACAGTTTCCAGTCTTCCTTCTTTCGTATCCATTCCTGTCTTCTAAGCTTTATCCCTGAGTATATGTTGCCTTTTAGATATTTCATTTGGTAGATTGTTCTGAGGAATGTCTTTCTGTTCACGTTAACTATTGATGTCTGTTGTCTGAATGCAAGTTGAGCCATGGGGATGAATTCAGGTCTAGGTTTTAAGGCTGTCTAAGGGACATAGTCCGGGAGGTTCTGCCAATCTCTATGAAACCAGTAAGCCTCGTCTTTCTTAAAATTTTGAATTTTGTTCCATATTTTTCTCCCACTCAATCCAGCATCTTCTAAAGTGATCCCTTTCAGAGTGATCAGCAGTGGTAAGCAGGTACCATCTAGTTCTTCTGGTCTCATGATTGTGGTTCCTGTAGTTTATTCATCTTTTGGACTAATTTCTTTTATGTGTCTTTGATTTTCTTCACTTTTCTTTGCTCCAGACAGGGAGAGATCATTGGCTGCCCCTTAAGTGAGCACTCACAAGCTCTGAAGACCCCAGTTGGTATTGATCAAAGTAGGATATAGAGCAATATCTTTGTGGACTATGTATGCCAATTAACCATGGTGTCCCCAGAGACTATGATCCTGACCCCCCCCCCCCAGGCCCAGTGACTCATTTCTTCAATGTTCAGTTATGGTTAAGAAATTTTCATAACTTTGTACCCTATATGTTCTATATTCATAGATATATTTTTAGCACATATAAATTGTTGTTTTTAAGTGTCGTCAAGTTGATTTCAACCCATAGCGACCCTATGTAGGGTTTCCAAGGAGCAGCTGATGAGCCTGAACCGTCAGCCTTGCAGTTCAAATAGACTGCTGTCCAGTGCATTAACCCACAGCACCATACCAGGACTCCAGCATGTATATATACATATGTAGAATTAATCTCTGTCAAAAAATATATAAATATATTATCAAACATAACTATAAACTCACAAGCAGCAAAAGGTAAACTAGATAACTGGGTAATGGTGGTGATTATGTGCTTCTTAAAAAAGTAAACATTTATGCACATCAAAAGACTTCACCAAAAGAATAAAAGGAGAACCTAAAGACTAGAAAAAAATTTGGGCAATGGAATATCACATAAAGAACGAATCTTTGGAGTTTGTAGAAAACATTAATACTTCAGCAATAGAAGACAATCCAATTTAAAAATGGGCCAAGGGCATGAACTGATACTTCATCAAGGAAACTATCTGGGCAGCCAAGAAACGTGAAGAAATGCTCGTGATCATTAGTCATTTATTGTTGTTGTTAAGTGCCGTAGAGTCAGTTCCAACCCGCAGCAACCCTATATAGGGTTTCCAAGGAGTAGCTGGTGAGCTTGAACTGTCACTAGAGAAATGCAAATCAAAACAAAAATCTATCACCTCAGCATCAGTAGTCAATATCTGTAGAACCAATTCAAAAAAGCAGAAAGCAACAACTGTTATGGAGAGATGGGCACTTTCATACATTCTTGGTGGTACTATAAGATAGAGCAACCATCAGGGGCAGGGAAACTATTTGAGAGCCTTTTGCATTTCGGGGGTTTTTAGTAATTGATTATAAAAATAATAAGACCATTAATTGGGGCAGTGATAATGGGAAGGAATCAAATTGTAGTGATATTTCTATACTAGAATTACCAGGACTTGTGACTGCAAGTAGAAAGAGAACCATCAAGTGATTTCCTGTTTACTGGCATATGGACATACTGTTACTGTTGATAAAGAAAGGAGACACTGGAGGAGGAAGGAGTTTTGGGGTGATCATCTTATATTTAGCATGCCAAGTGGGGGACATGAAGGAAACAGGAAAGTTAGGTCGGATTCAAATAGGCATCAATGGTGTTAAAATCAAAGAAGAAAAAGTGTCCAGTGAGAGAGAAATATGCGGAGTTAGAATAGCCTGTGCCTTTGAAGTGTTGGTGATGAGAGAAGCCTACTGAGGATCCTGGGAAGCAGGAGCCAAACAACAGAAACTTTTTACAATTAAGAAGAGAAAGCATTTTAAGTATGACAGAGTATATTAAATTCTGCAAGATAGCCATGTAAAAATGTCGATTTGATTTGATATTTAATAGTTCCTAAGCAGAGTCCTGGTGTGGCGCAGTGGATTAATGCCCTGAACTGCAAAATCGGTTTGAACCACAGGTCCACAGATCAAGCTTACCAGCCACTCCCGGGAAACCCTATAGAGGGTCACTATGAGTCAGAACAGACTTGAAGGCATGTAACAACAGCAACAGTTCCTAAGCAGACTGCCATAGATTGTTCCTTTTTTTTCTGTGTTGGTTAATGGTATGTATGCACTTTGGCTATAGTATAGAATGTGCAAGGGTTACTGTGGAGCCCAGTAGGACAAGGTCATGGGAGAGAGTTCCATGAAAACTTTGGTGGATAGTAGTCAATATCTGTAGAACCAATTTGAAACAATACTAGTAATGTGACTAATTCCACTGTTGCTGACATAAGTTATACGTTATAATACTCAGTATCTAATGTCCAAGCCACCCACTTTGTGTAGCTTGTTATTGTAAGATGCTTATTGAGTCAGTTATGACTCATAGCAACTTTGCATAGGATTTCTGAGAACCACAAACCTTTTGGTTAGCAGTCTAGTGCTTATCCTACAGCACAATACCAGGATTATAGCTTAGGTATTGTTATTATATTTC